TTGGCAGATGGAGAGAGAAAGGATATAGGGCAGAAATTGGAGAAGGAGTTTTCTGGGCTTTTTTTTTTTTTTTTTTTTTTTGCTGCCTGCCTACAGCAAAGCTGGGGTGACAGAAGTGGGAAACTAGAGTGAGGTGGGTAATAAAGATGGGCTCCAGGAGAGAGGCTGGGAAAAAGAGGAGGGAGAAGGAGGAAAGAGCTGGGAGGCCTTGCCAAGAAAGAGCAGGGAAGCAGGGACCAGGAGAGCTGGGAACGGATGTGTGAGGAGCAGCTGGGCCTGGTGACAATGAGACATTGGGTCTCAGGATCCGCGATGGTGATACCAAGCTTCCAGCCGAGGCAGACGGAACATGGGGTACTTCCAAACCGCAGCGGGGAAGTTGGTCAAGGGGGAGGGCTCTAAGAGGGGAAATCTGGCCTGTCATGTTGAATTCAAGACTGGGGGTGGGGAGTGAAAACACAAGTGTGTCCCAGGAACTGTGGCCTCCACATCACCCCAATGCCCAGTCAGAGACCTCCTGAGCTCGGGGAGGGGGGCGCTCTGTTAAGGAAGCTGGAATGAGATGTGGAATCCAGCCCATTCCTGCCTCTCCCAGCTTTGGCTGCCTTCCGCTTCCCCTCCTGTGTCTGTCCCACCGAGTCTCTTCACCCTCCAAAAGGGGTGGTGGGGGTGGGGGTGGGGGCGGCATCTGGGAGCTGACTGGGAACTTCTCTGACTTCCTCATGAGAAACAGTGAAGCTACAGGGAATGGCAGCTGTCCCCACTCCACCCCTTCAGATTTAGGAGGAAAAATTGGTCATCTCCTCTCTCTGGGGCCCCGGCTCACACGAATGCCATCTCCTGGTCCCTAGCCACACGGATGATTCAGGCCATTTACTCAGATCTATGCTAATGAGTTTTTTTATCATCTAATTAGTTCACAGTGAACTCAGCCTTGAGAGGAAAGAGATGAGAGAGCGCTGGAGGAAGAAATCAGACAGGAATGTTACCAGAAAAGGGCAGGATCCCAGCTCTAAATGAGGTCCCTTACCCACGAAAGACCAAATGCTCCTTCCTCAGCTATGCAGACCTCTGAAAGCAGAAAGGGGGTGTTCAGATAAAGGAGCCCACAGAGCCTCACACAAAGAGAGAAAGATGGGAGTACGGCCCTAACTGTGAGGCTCAAGGAGTAGACAGGCCCCTGCCCACAACTTCGTGTCATCAGCAAAAGGCCTTGCACTCTCCGTGTGTTTCCACTGAGGTCGAACCCACCACCTGCTGGTGGGTGTCCCCCTTCAAATGGAGCGGGAGGTGGAAACAGATGGTCCAGGACGAGGCCCATCTGCCCGACTGGCGCTCAAAGGTCACCAGGCCACTGGGGTGCCTGCGGGTGTGGCCGGCCCCCACCACACCAGGGGTCTTGGGGCATCTACCGGCAGCGTGCACCCACTTCCTCTGCCCCTCCGCAACTGAAGTCCAGGGCCGAGAGCCTAGAAAACGGAGAGCTGGAAAGCTCAGTGGCCCGGGGTTCTGGTCCCTGACGCCTGGTGCCGTGTCTCTGGAGGTCGGTCAGCGCCCAGCAGCCCCGGGCCCGCCTCCCGAGCTGCTCCCTACAGAGCAGTGGCGGGTGCCC